GAAGGAGTAGCGGTGGAAAACCCTTTGTCCAGGGGTGGACACACACACACACACACCCTGACGGTTGGAGCTGGGCTGGGGATTTTGTTGTTTCTGTTCGAGAAGCCGCAAAAAGTCCATGTGCGGTCATAGATAGAGTCATTATATGGCTGTGGCTCACACATTGGGGACCATCCAAGACCTCCGTTGTTTCAAGGACAAGGTAACATTTCGCCCATGCCACCAAACCTCGGTACCTATCCTCCCTGTGCTTTGGTTTCTTCCTGATGAACATGGAGCAGGTACTAAGACTCTGTGACACGTGCAGAGTTCAAGGCCTCTAAAGCTTTGATACACGTGCCCTCGCAGAACTGGCATGCACCACATAGGGGTCACACGCTCCGCGGCTTTCTATTGTCGACCACGTCGACACCGGCGGGGCGCGCTCCACGCCGACCTGCCGGCGGCTGGTCGCCCGTCAGGAGCAATCCAACCTACAGTCGTGAGGTGGACCTGGGGAGTAAGTCTGAGGAGCACGGCCACCAGAATCTTGGGATTGCTGAGGATTTGTTTGTTTTTTTTCAATTTGGAAGACGTGAGCTTGCTGCAACTTACGGGCACTTTGGGTGCTGGTAGATCTACTTATAGATATTTATATATATATATATATGTATAAGAGATTCATGGACAAGTCCACCGTATTGTTAAGTACCTGCAAACTTGGTACCTGTGCATGGGAGCAGTATAGGTACATCGAGTTGGAGACATGTATTTTTCCTATAAAGTTATGGGAGAATTATGCACGTGGGTGCATCTGCTCAAACTCAAAGCATCCTGGCAGCCACTCCCATACCACTCCCATACCACTCCCATACATTCCCCATACCACTCCTATAAGGATTTTCCCCATACCACTTCCATACCACTGACTTACATTCCCTATACCACTCCTATAAGGATTTTTCCTATACCACTCCCATACCACTCCCATAGAATAATGATATATATCTGGTATGTAACTAGTATATACCTGGTATATAAACCCTCCCATAGTGGAGGTACCACTTTTATAGGTACTTATCAGGTTTCTTGAACAAGCTAAGCAAGGTTTGGAGCATAATATGATGTTATTTGCTCCCCGCAGATATCATTTTTTTTGCGCCAGGAACAGCTACTTGTCTGGGGACTCACACGCTGAAGAGCGAGCGGTTCAGAGGATTCATTCTGGAACTGCTTCGAAAGCGCTCCGCTTTGATGAGCACTTCGTCTGCAGATTTGCCGAACTTGGTTTTGTTTAGGACCTGACAAATGGTGTTTATTCATGGCTCCTCTTTCGGATGTGGAGTCTCTACTTATAGTATTTGGAAGGATCTACGAACAAGAGATAGTTGTAAGGAAACATCAATGATAGGAAGAGGTCAGGGGTGGAGTGCTATCAAACTGTCCAGAGCCTCCGGCCTGCTTGGACCCTGGCCGGAACGGACGCAGGTCATGACCTGGGCTGCTTGAGTAAGCGAACTGGGCAGGAACCGCCCCCAGAAATGGGGTGCTGGGGGTCGGGTATGATGGGGTAAACACTCTGATCTCATGCTCATCATATCTCATCATATCTCATCATGCTCATCATGCTCATGTTTGACTCAGGGCAAAGGACTTCCAGATGAAAGTGCCTCAGCTGAATCTGAAGTTCACAGGAGAAGGTAGAACTTTGCCAAGCGAATCTGCTTACAGACCTTACAGACCATACAAACTTCTGCCTTTTTACTTGGTTCGGACCCCACAACGGCCTGGCTTGGTTCGGACCTCAGGTTCCCGATTCGGGCAGCTTGGCAGAGGAAGACACGCCAGAAAAGTCGAAGGCACGCCGGTTTCGAACGGTTTCGACCGACCGGTGCCGTGGTTTTTCGAACGACGTGTCGGGTGTTCGCCAGGGGACGGATGGTTCTCCAAGCTCTCCCAAGTCGCCAAGTCCAAGGCTTTACACTGATCAGAGTGACATGTTCCAGCCCAGGCGGGAGCGCGACGAGCCAGTCCCGGGTCCGGTTCGTGGACTGGATCCACGGATCCGCCGGACCGACTTGGTTTGGTATGACAGGGCCCCCTCCCCATGTGATGTTTTAAAAGAACCCGGGACCTAGGAGAAATGTCAGCAGTGGTCCCGTTTTAGCAAACCATGGCTGATTCATTGTAAAACGATAAAGAGTAAAAAGCAACAACGATACTGTAACACTCATGTGATACATGCAATACAGTACATGAGAATAGAAGCATTGGAAAAAGTGCCTTCAGTTCTTGAAGCAAATAGCTTTCAAACCCAGTTATTGATTTCAGGTGCAATTTTTAACAAGAGTGTTTCATGTCAAGGTTTTGGTGTAATACAAGCATTCAGGAGTGATTTCTTCTTTGGCTCCTTGAGCATCGCTGGGACATGGGCAGACACTTGCTGGTCCATATGGGTAAGTAGTTGCATGTACATGCATGGATTCTAATTCAGTGGATGTTAGGCCGACAAGTCAACAGCACCCATGTGAATCATTCTTTTGAATATGTTGTAGTAAGTGTTTGAGTCCGTTAGGCCACCAAAATGGGTGAAGCGTTGGGGTTCCAAAACGGTAACACAACGATAACAGAAACGATAACAAGAATACACGAAAAAGTCCTCCGGAAGACCATGTCCCACATGTACAAATTCCAAATTTGAAGAAATGCTCTCAAACAGACTCCAAACATCAAGGAAAGACAGGAACTCAAGGAATATGACCTGGATGTTTGGAGTTTGTTTGAAGGAACTTTTGAAAAATAGTTGTTTGATTGAAATCATTAAAAGTGGTACGCGCACGCACACACAAGCGATAACGAGTGAAAAAAGAAAACGATAAGGCTACAAGTGGTTATACAAAATGTATAGGGTCTTTTAATATATCATCTGGCGCCGTCTCATCCCAAATCGCCTCCTTCCTCGTTCAGCACCTGGTTCGGTGCTGGATCCAGTCGACCCGACCGGTCCAGTTTGCGGCGCCATACAGAGTCTGTCGGTGGATCCCGGCCCACTATCTGGGTCTGTCCTGCCACCGTCGGTCAACAAGAACGTGTTACTCAGGCCTGCAACAAGGCCTGCAACTGAACGATCAGATAGGCCCTGGTAATAGACTCGGATAGACCCAACAGATACTAAGGAACCAATGGCACAATAGCAGTGTGCTTGGGGAAAGTGAAAGTAGTCGTCACGAAAGCTCGAGCGTTTCACCACATGCTTTCGCGGGAACAGATGGGTGGCCATTTTGAGCAGATTTTGAGAGAAGAGCGGGATCCACATCCCTTCTCAGAAAGGTAGTTGCTTTGATGATGGGGAGAGTGCCACAACCGAGGGATCGTTCCACAGGTCTTTCACAGGTCTTTCGTGTGGCCCGTTCCACTGCACTCCCATCACCCCACTGAAATCCGCTCCGAACATGGACGTTCGACCGGAACCTAGGACGTCCCCGGTCTAGAGCGGTGGAATTGCGCTCCGGTCCAGGTCTTGCTGGCACTTGGATCTGGTGAATATGTCTTTCATGAGAAGAAAGAGCAACCTCACCATGAATTCCAGGCCTGACTTCAAACCAGGGTGATGAGGGCAATGCCGTGAGACGGCGAAGCGGAGGGTTGGCTGAGTTTGAAGGCTTCCAGAGAGGTGGCCGATGGTTGTTAAAGAAGGGCCTTTGGAGGTTACCTCAATTGGATTGTAAAACGAACCTTTGTAAAAACCATCACCAAGAGCCTACATGACGTGTCCACTTTTGGGACCTCAGCCTCAAGCATCCCCGGTCCCCATGGTGTTTCTGTCCGATTTGGCACCCAACCAGGCGAGCTTTGAACCAACAAGGCTCTTCGGTCTGATCCAAAAACGACTTCAGTGCAAAAACCCATGGCATTCAGGGACTCAAGGACTCAAGGACGGCTTGATCCGGAAAGGTCTGGCTTCTCACTGACCTCCGCTGAGAGCATCCATGAGATCCGCGTGGCCTTGACGGTGAAGCAGCACAAGGACTTCTTAGCCACTCGGGCAGACTGGGCAGAAGAAGTGTCCTGGCGGTGGGGAAGAAGCCGGAGCTGGAGAGTGGATAGTTAATGTTTCTGGGTCTCGAGATCGGAGTGTGGTTGCTTGGACCGAAAAAAACACAGACCAAACAGGACCAAGAACAGGACCACTTGCATCATGTGATTCTGGGAGTGTTTTGTTACGGCCAAGACTAAACAAGATTAAGCAAGAGCTTTCATCATTTTCATCTATTATATCATCAATCTCAACATGCGGAGACCGCTTGAAAGCCGAAGTACACTCCCCAAATCAAAATAATGCTCGAGGTGCTGTTTCAGATATCCTCATCTTCACACTCCACACCTCTTTGTCGCAGGGTTCAGAGGTGTTGCACCTTCGCTAGGTGTCGCCCCTTCGCAAGGTCATTCACCCACATGCAACCTTCAAAATCTGCTGGGACATGTGCCCTGGCAGTGTCAGGGCGCGGCGAGCGGCACGAGTCGTTGCTTCGTCGCTTTGTTTGACGCCGCAGGCCTCAAAGGGCCTTCCACGAAAAGACCAACGGTTAGTCTCCATGAAACATTCAAGCAGGAATAGGAGAATGACATCTGCAGTCACAATGTTTCAATGTAGTGGTGGTTAGTGGTGGTTTGGAGTGTACATTGTCAGGATTTTGACTCATTGACCGTTCTTGTGGTGGTTTGAAACCGCCAGTCCAGGTTTCGACCTGTAACTGATACTTCTTGTTCCTGGAGTGAACCAGCCTCAGTGACCAGTTTCCCCTGCGCTGTGAAAGTAGTTACTTGGACTTGCGAGAGTGCGCCATGTCAGAGAAAATTGGCATGTTCCCAGGATGGGAATGCTCTTCCTGCTGCGAGATATCTTCTTTATCCCGCTGCAATTATTTGATGTCCCTGCGGCCTACCTCATGCAATGGCTCGACACCACCTCGTTGATATTTTGGACCTTGGACATTTTCTTGTCCTTTTTCACTGGGTACTACCAGAAAGGCAGACTTGAATTGAAGCACCGCAAAATTGCCTGCAATTATGTCTCTCGGAAGCAGACCATGCGGGTGGATTTGTGCCATGGACCATGAATCAGAACCTTTGAACACCAAGAAGAGATGTCGACGTGAGATTTCCCTGCACCTTTCACCATCTTTGATTCATAATTCACCCTGTGACAGCGAAAACCGCATGTTTGGGTTCTTATTTCCCATCTTCCTTTTGTTTGGATCGTCTCCACCGGCCACTCTGCCCCCTTGCCCCACCGGAGGTCAAGACCTGGTTCTTCCTGGACGTCCTGGTGGTAGGCATCGACTGGTGGTTCTCCGTTCAGCCCACCAACGGAGCTGAAGGGGTGGCACGCGTGACGAAGTCCATCCGCTCGGCACGCTTCCTGCGGATGTTTCGCTTAATCCGCCGCTCGGAACGGAGGTGTCTTTAAGCGGTGTTCTTTCTTTTAAGGCGTAGAAGTGGATGGTTTCATGGTGTGAAACATGTGGCCTATCATGCCAAAATACGTAACAGTCCTGAAGCTTCATTTGTTGCACGAGTTTTTGGGAGCCAGGGTTTGAGCCATTTTTGGACGTTCGTCGCTTTTTTTGATGACATGCGTGCTTTTTAGAGGTTTTGAAGAGTTGTGGCGTTCTTGTTAGATGCTGAAGACTGAAGTTTTCTTGAGCCAAAGCTGAACACCTGCGCACAAATTGCCAGTCAAAGCGCCGCAAAAAGGGCACCATTTGAAATGCACACGAAAATGGGTTGGATATGGGAGGGCTCCATGCGTTTTTTTGCATGATTGTAGCGCTTTTTGTTTGAATGCACACTTTTGGAAATGAACGTTTTAGTGATTGTATTTTTTTTTGTAGCGAGGGAAACTTCAGGGTTGGATAGCAGAATCGAAGATGAGACAATTTTGATTACCGACTCGCAGTGTATTGCGGTCGGATGAACTGTTGGGTTGGATACATTTGGATCGCAGATGGCCATCCTTATAATACCCATCATCCCATCCTTGCCATGCAAAACAATGGGCAGATCTGGTCCCTGAGCAGGGCGGAATTTGGCACCTGCCATGTTTGGATCGCCTTTGCGCGTTGGAAGAGCGGGACCGTCTAAACCACTGGCTTTTACATGGTTTTACTGCGTTGACTGGATGTTTGCTCTTCCGAGGGGTCGAACATGATACGGATACACCCTGCCGCTTCTGATAGCGATCCAAAGAGAGCACACGCCGCACGTGGCCGCACCATCTGAGGCTTGAGCAAGATGAGCAAGGTGGGACGTCACGTGCGAGATGTGGGACCATGGTGGACAAAGCATGTCCTGAACTCTAAGTACCGGATCGTGACGTAGCCTGTATACATCTTTATACCCTTGGTATACCCGGTATGTCTTTTAATAGACCCCTTGGTATTCCAAGGGGGATGTCATGATGAGTTATTCTTGTGTCAGATTCTGTCACTACCTGGAGTCGACCCGTTCGTACCTCGGAACAAGATGGTACAGTCGTACCTGTTTTGATCGGGCCATGGCGGCCAGTCGTACTTCGGAGGGTCCAGGGTGCGGTCAGTAGGCTGCTGTGTTCATCCTTTAAGACCGCAGAGACGTCCAGGGTCCTCGCCACGAGGTTCCTGGTGGCATCGACCAACCAAACGTTCAAGTCCACCTAACCATGGAACACCGACATCAGGTGTCCATCTTGATGCGAGAGCAAATCAGCTCTGAAGCTGGAATTATCTATTTTGGTATCCTTTTGGCAACTTGGATGCACTGGTTATGTTTTTGGGGCAGAGCTGTCTGGGACCATTGGCCACTGCTTCCGAGCCACCCACATTTGCGGTAATATCGTACCATCATCGCTTTCGCCAGCCAATCGAGCCTCCGGAGTCCGTCCTCCTTCAAAATGACCGCAGAATGCATGAGCTCATCCCATCCAGGATGGGTGAAACCCGAAAAATTCCACTCGCTTTCCATCGCCCCGGGTTTGATGTCTCGGTCGGTTTGGACCGAGGGTCTGGGCTCTCCAGGCCGAACCGAGCCGACGCTCCGACAGTCCAGCGCCACCCGGGACCTGGAGACGAGACGCAGCAGTCGGTGACCACGACCGCGGGTGGTTCGAAGCGACGGAGCGCCGTTTTCAGCGCAAGCCCCAATGAGGTCATCCTGCGTATGTTTGTCTTGCAGCACGTCATCGCCTGTGGCTGGTTTGGCATTGGTGAAGCCTGGCGGGAAGATGAAGCATAGCACCACCTAGAAGTAACTATATAGATGGTGACTGTATGCTCATCGCATTCAATTGTGTGTGTACAATTATTTGAACCCGTTGGTGCTGGTATAAGATTGTTCTTTCTGTTTGACTGGAATAAACATGGAGAAGAAAGGTCGAGCTTCATCTTGTTCTGTTCGTGTCCTAAGGAATTGGCGACCGAAGAGGAAAACAGAAGTTGGATTCTGACCCACGGCTTTCGCGTACTTTGGCTCATTATAAATTGTAACTTTTTTGTGGAGAGGCCGGAGTCGCAACTAGTAACAGTACATTAGTAATTCAACACATACTATAATCAAAGTCATTAGGCGGCTTGAGGTGTGTTTATGTTTATGACCTTTTATAGCATATACACACATACTCTGTCCTGTGCCATCCTGGCAAACCTCCATCCCAAACTGGCCAAATCCTGACTTCAAATCCTTTGAAAGGAAGTTTAGTTAAGAAACTTCCGTAGTTACGAACAGCTAAATAGCTCAGGCAATAGCTAGCGCAAGCAATAGTTAGCGTGGACCAGTGACTAAGTTCAAGAATTATTGTAGACGGTAGCTAAGTGAAGAGTTGTCAAAGAGTGTAACTGTCGTCGAACATCAAAGTGGAAGTCACCAAAGTGTACAACTGCATCGTCAAAGATCAAAGTGGAAGTTACCAAACGGTGTAACCGTTGTCCAAAATATGGTGGAAGTCACCAAAGTGTATAACTGCATCGTCGAAGATCAAAGTGGAAGTGACCAAACGGTGTAACCGTTGTTCAAAAAATGGTGGAAGTCACCAAAGTGTGTAATTGCATCGTCGAAAATCAAGGTGGAAATGACCAAAAGGTGTAACCGTTGTCAAAAGTCAGAGTGGAAGTCACCAAAGTGTGTAACTGTCGTCGAAAATCAAGGTTGAAGATGTGTAGCTCTCGTCCTAAATCTAATAGACGACGTGAGAATTGGGGTCAAAACTGGGAACTTTGTAGTACAAATGTAGTAGGGAAGCAGCCTAGGGGCTTTGGGATCAGAACTTTAAGCCAAGTGTGGTAGTTTTGCTGCAGCTCAGAAATTGGGAAGTTACACCCTTGCGAACTGGCCCGGCCTGGGTGGAAAGTCTTTTGCGTGGCTCCCTGCCATTGGGGGAGGGGAAACGCGTGTGTTGGCAACGAGTGCTTTTCTCAAACTGATAAACCTCTGTTTGTTGGAAACTTCCGCCTTGGCTTGCCAAGATTACTCAACATATAAATATGTGTATACACACAGATCACTTTCTACATGTCTCTACAACAATATATATAATATATATATATACTTAAGTGAAGGAATTGTCTATGGCATGTGCTTCTTTTTTGATGAGCACAATTATCATGCCACTGAAACAAGGAATAAGCAGTGCAATGTATTGAGAGGTGTTGAGGCCGAAGGAACTCCAATGAACTTCGGCCGGGACCAAAGAGTGGCCACTCAGGAAAGAACTTTTCAGTATCAATACAGCACATGTCTTCACTGGGCTTTTGCTCAACTGGGCATGGGTTCGGTGGAGATCGAAGCTGAGCCTTGGCAGTCTGCCTTTGGAGAAAGAACACAAAGGGGGTATTGGTGCAGGGCAAAAGAAGCCTTTCCACAGCTTTGAGAAGTGATTTTTAGGTGTTCGCTTCGATGTTGCAGGATGTTGCAGGATTCGAATGACCACTAGGCTAGCGGTAGGAGGGACACATTTGTTCTCTGGATCTTGGTGTTTAAAACTGAAACCGTGCCAAATACAGTGGTCAGATCGGGAGAACTACAACACTAGCATTCTTTTCGGGGGAACTCGGGAGTCCCATAAGAGAGTTTCCCAGAACGGCGAATTGTCATTTCCATCAGTTCGCCTTGAGTCCAAGTTTTCGTCCGCCCCCTTTGCATCCCAAATGCATCGGCTGCCTTGCCCGACTCCTTGATAGCTAGGAGACAACGCAGGAGAGGATCTTCTGCGTCTTGGAGGCAGTGTCCAGGATCGCGAATCGCTTCGCCCTTGGGAGAGCGAATCGGCCAAAGGCCTCCAAAGTCGATGGGTTCCATGTGATTTACAGAGTGAAGGTTTGGAAAGGAGACCATCCGATACTTCTCCCGGAATCAAACAATATCTAAGACATCTAAGAAGAATCGTCCACCGTTGATTTCGTTTTGGGGTTTTGTGCGCTGAAAGAACGAAGCTGTTGTATGGGAAATTGCCATTGGCTTTGGTTCTCTAACCGCACCTGCCTTTAATGTGCACACGAAACGTCGTGCAAGAGGCCCCGTACATCCTGGTACTATATATATATACCTATAGAGTGTGCAATAACCTCTCTCGAAAACATCTTTGACAGCAACTTCATGGTACGTCCATGCAGGTACTTTGAGTCCATCAAGACACCTGACCCCTTCCATGTTTGGCCACTGGTCGTTCTTCCCCGTTCCCGTCCCACCCAGGTGCGAACCCGTTCCTCGTGCTTTCGGCGATCGTACTGGACCGGTTGATCGTCGGCCGTTTGCTGAGGTATTGGAGTTGCTTTTGTGGGCCTCATCAGTTTCTCCACTCTGGTGACGCGGCCGATTTCGCGAAACAAGGGAGCTGCTTCTCTAAGCAGCTCACATTTCTTGCTGGAAAACACCAAAAACATCCAAAAACACTGTAAGCAGGAATCAGTTTCTAAGGACTTGGGGGTACCACCTGTACCACTTCTGATGGTCAAGATTTGGCTGTGTCTTAACAGAGACCCTCCACGCAAGTTTTACTTGGTTGTTGGTAGTCTTGGTAGCTGAGAAAAGTCACCTTCATACAAGTGGGAGAGTGATTTTCATGTGTCTTGATTAAGAAGACCCCCACAGACATCGATTGTAGACCTCTTCATATGAAAAATGAAGGGTTTAGGTCGTATTTTCCGTGGACACCTCTGGATCAAGCGCCGGAGAACCTGAATCAGACTGCAGGTGAGTACGGTCACGTCGCTCATGAGCAACTTGCAAAAAGCACAGGATCAGGAGCAGCAGCGTCGCTCATGTTCATTCGATGGTGGGACCCCCATCTGTCGACACATCTACCCAAGAGCCACTCTACCTGTATCTACCTCCCTGGTTTACACTGTATCTACCTGTAGTTTATTGGGCGCCGGCTCTTGGGTTTGTGTTATCCTCCCCCGAGACCCCGAGAGTCACGTGAGCAGCAGCTCTTTCGAGCCGCAGGAGCAGCAGCTCTTTCGAGACTTGCGACGCTTCCTGCTGCTTGGAACGATTTGTGACATGTGGTGTCCCAGTAAACCAGTAAGGGTAAAAGATGATCACTATTCCCAACAGCCGAATTCAGTTGGGTTTCACATATTTTGGGGCTGAGAGTGGTGCAAAGTGTTACTTTTTGGGGGGGAAGGGCCGGGGAAGGGTCTGCAACCTGACCACATCATCTTCAACTGGGCCGGATATCTGGTTGATGAAACCCCGTTCCGGGGCAGATCTGATGTCCAGCGGCGCTGGTGGTGGCTGGGTTTTGAAGGGGCTTGGTGGCCAAATGTCGCCAAAACACACAGATATATATATATATATAATATAATATATATATAGAGAGAGAGGTGTGGTGTGAATGATGTTTTTGTGTTGTATAATGTCTTGGCTAAAAAGTAAAGGATTGAGTTTGATATGTATATATATATATATCAAATATGAATGTATTGTTCAAATATCAAGCCCTGCGGTGATTTCCTTTTTCCCCAGGCCAGTTCGCGCCTGTCCGGTGATCGGGTGGTTCCCGGTGTCCTGGGAAGATTGTGTATGTTTTCCCCGGTGTCCTGGACAGCAAATCCATGCTTTTACAAAGAAATGCCCTCCCCGAAACAGCAAATCCACAACAATAGGACAAACCAGTCCGAGAAGAACAGACCGAAACTGCCTGGACTTCTGCATGGATTCCGGAAGCCGAATTCCATCCGACAGACCCCCGGACATGACAGGCCGCAGCCGGCGCTCGGTCTTCACCGGTCGAACACAGGCGACTCTTGTGGTAAGTAAGACGGTCCGAGAGACGGTCCCAAGAGTACGACAGTGAGAGGTGAGTGAAAAGCGAACGGCAAACGCCCAGGGGCATGACCGTTTTAGAGGGGACGCTCGTTGAACAAGAGAGTGGACGCTCGTTGAACATTTTGTTAGATGTTTTTCTTTGGTTGACCGGTTGACCGGCCAAGGCATCAGAATGACATCCCCATTGACCTCAGTCAGCGAGTGACCCGCTTCCTGCAGCATGCGTATCGTTTGCAAACCTCCAGAAGCGTCGACAGTGAGGTTCCAGCGTGCCGCGTTCGTTCGGAACCTCGTGCGGTTCGTGAGTCGGCGCGGCGGGGTAGCCGGTGTGGGTGAAACACGCGCGTGCGGGGCACGTTGCATGACTCAGGGTGTTGCGAGAAACGGTTCAATCGATGATTCATCTGAATTCACAACGGTCAATGTTTTTGGACGCTTTTAGGACGAGAGTTGGAATGAAATCCGAAAGACCTTCAATTTGAAGACCGTGAATGGGATCGAGTGGCTCCTGCAGGAAAATTCGAATTGTTGGAAGCTAGGTGGCCATAGGTGGCCCGAGAAACCTGTGCTTTTGTTGACGTTGGTTCTCTCAAGGGGCGGCCGCGGTCAAAGGTGGTTTGGTGGCCCAGCCACAGATGTCAGGATCAACATTGGCTTCATTTGCCTGCATATGTTATGATCAAATATGATCATTCAATCAGCTCGTACTTGGTGTGAAGATATCCCAAACTTTGTGTTTGACGTGCAGGTCGCCATCTTCCAGTTACTCTCCAAGTCCTTGAATGCTGAACTTCAGCCTCTTGGACATATGCGATCGAGATGAAACTGCCAGGTTCTGCATGTAGTTTTGTATGAGTGCCAGTCAAGAAAAATAATCCCGTCGGATGATACACCTGATATGCTTCTATGCATTTCCTTCTGCACCCTCGGATGGAGCCAGACTCCAGTCTACAAAGAGCAAGAGATGCAAAGAGCATGTCCGTCCCTAGAGCCTCAACTTTATGACCTGTTTTGATAGGAAGTTGGACCAGATGTTGGGTGCTTGGTGGTCATTTCATGAGTCTAAAATAGAGGTCACAAAAAGGCTCTAGACTCGACTCAGTACCGGTCCAAAGGGCCACGCGAAACCAAAACCGATTCGGACCGACGCTTCAACAAGAAACGAAAAAGCTCCAACGCTCTTCGGACCGGATGCCTCCAACCTCCCTGACGGTCGGTCCTCCCTGATGTCTGGTGACGCGGGTCCGACTCGGTCCGACTCATGCCCATCGCCTCAAAAAGCCGGTCCGAGTCTGTCGGCAGGGACGGGGTGTTGTGTTCTTTTTTGTGTCATGGCTGTCGAAAACATGCTTCTCCTGCAACGAGAACTGAGTATCGGCTGCACTGATGTAGGCCCAACCCAGCCGACCCGCAGTTCAAAAGAGCCAAAGAACATCGGCGCTTGCAGGTTCACGCGCTACAAGAATTGCCTCTACTCACTCGCTCTCTGCAGGAAGATCTTGTCATCAGGTGCTGCTGTGGAAGCTGAAACGGATCCTTGGGCACCTCAAGAGCGACGGATAGAAGCGGATGGAAAGATATCATGGCCTTACAGATGGGTCCGAGCTGCCAGGACTCTTCATTTTGGGTCCGAGCCGCCAGGTTTCGAGGGAGCTTGTCAACCTGTCGGAGCTTTTTCATCCCCTCTGCCTCTGGGGGGTTCAGGTACCTCCTTTTCAGATGGTCCTGGACCCTTAGGTGGTGAGGCAGACTCGGGGTTCTCATGCTTTGAGATGGTTTAAACCACAGATTCAACAGCGTTCAACAGGAAACTTCAGAAAGTGTACCCAAAAGTTCCCAACAGCCTTCTCCCAATATCTCGCACTCAAAGAACAACATGCGAGAAGAAGAGGAAAGAAAAAAGAAGATAAAGGAAGAACACGCAAGAAGAACGAAGGAATAAGAAAGAAATAAAGAAAGACCGCGGTATTTTTGAGTCTCGACAGCTTGCAGTCAACACGAGTCCCTCCAAGGTGGCGCAGAAGTTGGCCGTGAGGACCTTGAGTACCGTCCCGCAGCCCGGCACGACGTGCAGTGAACGTCGTGTATGTGATTTCGTTCGTCTCTCCTTCGTCTCTCCCATTACCTGCACCAGTCGCTATTTACATGTTTAAAGAACAACAAATTTTACCCGATTTTTTTGAACCAAGCCTTTTGCTAACCATCATCCACTGTCACGGTAATGGGATAGACCCATGGTATTTCCTTGCATGAAAAACAGACTGGTATCTCAAGAACATCCCCAGGATGAGCCAGAATCGGAACTTGCCTTCGACACAGTTTTGGCATTAGTCAACCCATCCATGTTTTTTTATTCCAGTGTTGGAGTTTTCTCACTCGAAACGACACTCTTACGGAAGTGGATGGCGTTGGACTCTTGCTGTTTTTGGCTGCTTTTCCTCAGTGGGTTGTGATGGTTTGTCCACTTCCAGCCAAGGCTAGCACAGAACGACTTTGTTTTTCAAAGAGGCACTGTGGCTCACACGTGTCTCCCAGCAGCAAGAAAAGTAACGTTTACGCGCGATCTTAGATCAACTTTATCATCCAGAAGGACTGTCATTTAGAGGAGTCTTAATAACTCTTTGATTGTTGAATGATGTTGTTCTTTGACTTTTCAGGGGAGGTTGCACCTGCCCTGAAATGGAATTTGAACCAGTGAAGGCCTCCCCGTGGCAGCTTACGTTTCTGCCGCGCAGCTATGGTACGTAGTCAGTTCTTGCGTATCATGCTGCGATTGGAGCAACTGTGTAGAGGTCCCCAAATAGATAAAAACAGGACCGCCAGCCGTTGAGTTTCTTCGCTGGCCCATCGCTCCACTTTGACACCACCAAGTTCGGGAAGAAGGGCAGCCGTTTGTCATGAGCTATGCATTGGCACTGAGGCTACTTCGCGCTGGAGAATAACCTGGAGCAGCTCTGCTGACCAATGAGAATGGTAGATGTCAATCCATGACCCATGAGAATGCTACACTCCCTGAACTAATCATGGAAGCAGATAGCATGGCCCCTTGGATGATACTTTTCCATACTTTTCCTTTACAAACAGGTGGTGAACTCCACTTCATGATTATTTCAAGGAGTGTTCAATCGACAATGTTCATCCATGAGACATCGATGTTTACCACCTGCGGTGATGTTCAATCATCGTTGAACCCCCACCGGAGACCCCAGCTTCGAGAACCTCCGCCTTCAACACAGAAGGCTGAGCGTTTTCGCAGGTGCACAGATCTTAAGCGATGTTGGTCGTTTTGAACATATGCATCAACATGTCTTTGTGCCTGCAGTATATAAGCAGCAGATAGCAGCAGTATTTTATTATATATATATATGTTGAAGAAAGCAATCTCTCCAGGAATTCTGGGAGGTACCCCAGAAATGCTGCGGAAGCTGAGAGCGCTTGTCAGATCTTCTTTAACCCGACTAGCGGTCTCAACCCACCAGCCAGGCCAGCCAGGTCCCAGGTCCGAGGTCCGTTTCTTCGCTCCTCTGAAGCGGTATGTCCGAGGTATGTCCGAGAGCGGGGCAACCGGAAGTCGGTGGAAGAGGGGACCTTAATTTCCGAACTCGCCTTATGGACGCCATGGGTGCACGTCGGTGCCATGGGTGCACGAGAGCGTAAGGCGTAAGTGATGCGTTTAAGTGATGCGTCGTGGGTCATTGGATTTGACTGGGTGGGTCTGGAGCCTATGGTTCTTTTGCGCAGCCTACGAGTCGCTACCCCGATAGACTGGCCTACCCTGATGGTATCTAAGACTGTGAGAATACCACTTTGGATCTAAGTAAAAGAGTGTCACTAAAAAGCTGAGAGAATGGCCATGCGTCACCTACATGTACTGTACAAGACTACACACATAGTTATGGATGTTTGCAAGCTGTTCACCTTCATCGCCCACGTACGTATCTCAAAGGGCAGGACATCACCTAGCGGTGAAACCTGTGGATTGTTGGTGATCTCTACAGGCAAAGTAACAGAAACATGCAAGAGCGAACTTCACTGGTCAACCTCGTTTTTGACTGGGAAATCACAAGCGTGGTGGGCTCACCGATTCATTTTCTCTGAAAGTGCTCATCGTATTCACAGCACTTCCAGCACCTGAGTAGTATTCAGAAAATGGTCATCCCAAGTGGCCATGCCATCCACGTTGGCCCGATTTCAGGGAGCGCAGCCCGACCTTCATCCGTTGCAGCGAATCAGGTGGTTTGGTCACCAAAGAGATGAACAGACTCTCAGCGGTGGAGTATGGGCTTCAGAGGTCAAAGCGCGTGATGTTGTCCAACAGCTTGTGTTTCCCCAGGATGCCTAGCGTCCTGTACCAATCTCCTTTTTTTTGTGAGCATTTTATGTGGCTTCAAGAAGGTTTTCTTTGGACCGAGGGAATGATCGAATCTTTTGGGTGCTTGTCCCAGGAGTTAGTGGGCACATCCGCCCCAAGTCCCTGAAATGCAGACATTGAAATGCTCAAAGCAGAATTGGCTCCCGAAGTCCCGTCGAACGCATCAGTCGAATGCGAACGAAGCATGTGGCTTTCTTCTTTCGGTCTTTTTTCTCCCTCACTCGCATCAGCCTGATGTGACGAAACCGCATTTTCTCGTAGTAACCGACGTAGCTTCTTGTTATGTGCCAGGAGCGCCCCGTTCGCACCGTCCGATCGCTCCGTTCGTAGCGATGCCCTTTTTCTAGTAAAGAGTATCGGACTGTTAGCTTTTCAGGTCGGTAGATGGAGAGACAGTGGACTGGACTGTGCCGCTGGGATGGGACGGTGCCCTCGAAAGGCTTCTCACCCACTCTGCTTCGCCGATGTTGTGGTGCCTTTCTTGGAGGTTGCCCTGGTCGTTTTCTCTGAGAAGCAGAGCTTTACAGACCCTGAAGTGATGTGTATGACCACGTGGCCTCACTTCCACATCGGGCCGAGCGGAGCGGAACTCAGGAGTTGTGGCGATCGATGTGGAATCCTTTTGCGCATGCGTGGCCGAAATACATGAGGCTCTGTGGTATTGCGGCAAAAAACAATAAAGGATTCAGGATCCCCCATACTCAAAGGCTTATGAAATGAGTGACCTTTGCATTTATGAAACGACGAAACCGACAAATATGTCATAAACACCAGTAAGGGGAATGATTCAGGTGTGTTTTCAGTCAAGGCTTCAGGAGTTGTGGCTCCAATTTCCACTGCAGGCAACCAACCGTCGGAACTCGAACTCGAAAACCATCGGAACTCGAATGCGTCGCAGGTCCAAGAACAGGCGATCTACTTGGCACAGCGACTTGGCGACGATCCGAAGCCAACCCCCCAAATGTTCTTTAAACATTTAAAACTGTTTCACTCGAAGGAAGCGGATTTGGTATCAATATGGACCCCCAAATAGATAGAAAAGTAAAAGTAGATTCCCACCAAAATACCAAAACATGTATTGGAAACCATGCCATGGTCATCTATATATTTGGGGATCAACATATAACACCTGGGTGTCGCTCACCACGTGGTGACCGCTCACCACGTGGTGACGCCCTGTCTCGACAGGTCAGCTTGAGACAGGACCGAGACAGGACTGAGACTGTCTGGTGGAAAAGCAAGTCATAATACTCTTTACTAGTAATGCCAGGAGCTCCTAGTAGCTTCTTGCTACTAGTAGCGATGGCCTCCAACCCAATAGCGATGGCCTCCAAGCTAGCTTCTGATACTTCAATCAACATGGAGCCCGACCAGTCCACGTAGCGTCGGCATCCTGGTCAAATATGACCCACAACCATATCTAAGTTGGAGGGTCTTGACCCTGCGAAGCT